AGAAGAATATAATCAATTCTAAACCCAGACAATTGTGACAGAGAAGATTAAATAATAAAATTTAACTGTCTATATATATATAAGGTACCATTGTATGGAAAAGGGTAAACTTAGTTCATGATCTGCTATATCAGACAAAACTCAGATTGCTAGACACATAGTCTGGACAAAATTTAAGAAACCCTTTGAAATTTTAAATTATGGCACTATAAAGATAACGCAAAATGACGTCAAAATAGCCACCAGGAAAAGTTAACTCTTTCCTGGATAGGTATGTTTAGTGGGACAAGACTGCCCTCTATAGACCAAATAACTAAATTGCGATCTGGAAGATAACCACACCTCTAGTGCTTCTATTGGGTTATCAACTGATGACGTACAGAGAGTCTGGCCCTTTAAAAGTTAAGACAAAGGGAAGATAGAGATATGCAGGGTATGCAGGAGATGCAAAGGAGAAAGGAAAAGAGGAGAGAGGAATTGGAAGTTTGGGGACTCCAACCTCCATGCAGAGAGACATCCAAATAAGTTCCTGAGACTACCAATCGGATGAAATATCTACTCAACTGGTAATTATACTGGTGTCATTTAATTAATTAAATTAATTAAAATGTATTAATAGCATTATATATATGACTGGATAAAGCACGGTCAGATTTCCATATTAAGAAATCTTAGTTAACTAAAAAGAATATATAGTTATAAACATTCCATTCTGCAGGTGGAATTAAGAATAATTATATATTAATGTGATATTATCACGTGTTAGCATACCGTTATTTTTATCCAGGTGTATTGATTTGCTCTAAATTAAGATAAGATATCTTTTAGACAAATTAAAATTCTGCTTTTATATATATGGTAGATTCTCTTATTGGATGGTTCCAGGAAATGACTAATGAAATGGGTTTAATGTTATTTTATTTAAAATTACATAAGAATAGATCTTAACTACTTAGGAGATCTAGCCAGCATTGAAAGGGTTATTCTAACTGTCAGCTAAACGTTACGACCTTACGCTGCACTCTGAGGAATTCTGTTCTTCTGTGAAAAGTTTTCCTTTCAGTCTGTAAAGATAGTCATAAATCGTGTAAGCCTTGACAGATAATGCTGTTTAAGCCGTTGAGACGTATGTAGCCATTCCTTTGTATTACATACCATTTTATACTGGATATTCATTGATTATTGTCATGCATGTTACATATTATTATTATTAATTAGTCATTATAAATAAAAATCTATTTTTATACATTGTGATATTATTATATGAAATATTTCTCACTTACGATAAACATTCTTTGGGATCTGAGAATTGAATTAGTGGGCAATTCTCACTGTTACTATTATTATCCCATAAATATCCCCACAAGTCCTGATGCATGGAGAAATGCTCAACTCCTGATGCATGGAGAAAAGGCCTTCACAAGCCTCTGCTAATGTGTACCTAGTTTATACTAAGTGACCCATAGGTTGAGGAGGCGGTGACCGTGGCGATGGAGGAGGAAGCAGGGCTGGACTGGGGATTCCAAAGCAGCCTTGGAAAAAAAATCTATGCCAGCCTCATAAGTCATTGCGCCATATATTGTTGCATGTACTATGTAAGGCTATGTCTTGCTTTTTCCAATATAAAATATTGGTCCTTTCAGAGTAAAATTTTTAATTATACAGTAAGCATACTCACTTGCAGACACAGACAATCTCACTGTCAAAAGCTGATTGATACACAGCCTCATAGACAAACAATCTCACTGATATACATAAGGTCATTGACATAAAAACACAAGCTCACTCAGTAGCAGGCACACACAAGCAAGCCCACTCACCAGCAGGTGCACACACACACACACAGCTTAATGTAGTGGCTGTGGTGTCTATAGCCTGTCCCTGCAGGCTTTTCAATGTAAACACTGACTTTTTAGAGAAAAGGCAGTGTTTACATTGCTTCCTAGTGACAGACACTTAGACGGTCACTAGAGGTGCTTCCTGTGTCAGTGCGGATTGGCTGAGATCATCAAGCTTGATGATCTCAGCCGTAGAGGCAGGGCCAGTCAAGGGGAGACCAGCATGACGTGGGGGGAAAAAAAGTGAGTAAAAACACACATACACATACCATGACAGACACACACCATGACACAGACAGACTGTGACACAAACACACAGACAGAAACACAGAGTTAAAAATAGAAATGAGTCCAGGCACTCCAATGAATTCCAAAGTGCAGGCAGTTTATTTAGAATCCAGGACCAAAAAGCAACGTTTCAACCCCTTAGGGCCTTTGTCAACCTAATGGATTGAAACGTTGCTTTTTGGTCCTGGATTCTAAATAAACTGCCTGCACTTTGGAATTCATTGGAGTGCCTGGACTCATTTCTATTTTTAACTCAGTGTTTGGTCCTATTTGGTACTGGTCCATTGGAGCACCATGGATTCTGGAATGGAGGGTTGAGTGCACTTCCATCATTTTTGTTTACAGACAGAAACACAGACACACCATGACAGACAGACACACACACATACCATGACAGACACACACACACACACACACACACACACCATAACACAGACAGACTGTGACACAGACACACATTACATGACACACAGAAAATAGTTCAACAGGATCACTTGGTTTAGGTCAATGAATTCAACTTTCGCACCTAAACCAAGCAGCGACCAATCAGTGCTCAGGAAAGGGAGGAGTTACAAGGTAAGCCCTCTAACTTGCGCCGACCAATCCGTAGAAAGGGCGCAAACCAGTTTGAATGGTAGCTCCTTTTCCCATTGGTCGGCACAGACTTCCAGGCGACCACCGGGACTCTGTGGCTGTGAGGCCAACCCATAGCTCCAGAGGGTTGGCCAGGGCTTGCGTCTCTCACATGAATATCTCCGCTTAGATAGCAATGGATAGAGCGCTCCTTGGCCAGTTGCTAGCTTGGATCCGTAGCTCCCGGGTAGGTAAGCAAAGGAGCTGGGACAAGGGATTGCTAGGATGGCAGCGACATGAGGAATATAGCCTTTTGGGGACACAGTTTAGATGTATTGCACGACTAGGAACACAATTTGTTACAACCACCAATAGGAGGAAGACCATTGGATTTTGGCTCGAATTCTCAAATTATGTTTGGTGCCCTGTAAATATGAAAATAACCGGAAAAAAACAGTTTCAAATAAGCAACAATAACTCACAATGATTGTTCACTTAAGCATCCAATGCCAGAAACTATCTGCCCAAGGGAACTGAGGCAGACATATGAACCTTGGGCAGGTGATGAAAGATAGCACATTAGAACATCAAGTAATCCGCAGTTCCAAGGGGTGTGACAGAATTATGAAGAGCCTCCTTTAAATAATCTGTTGGATGAAGGAAAACCACAACACCCCTTTGTCTGCTTGAAGTAAATTTTAGAATTATACTTCAACTCCTTAATGGCTATATATTCCAATTTAATTGAGCATATTATTAGCTAAATAACACATTATTTTCGACAAGTGAATGATACATTTCAATTGTTTTACCCCTTGATTGCATTGGTAAAAATAAAAAAAAAATCTTTCATTTCTAAACATATCGCAAAAGGAATCACTAACATACTTCTGGTCAATTCGGTTTAAAGCTTCTCTATTACAGTAAAAAGATAGTGATTGTAGATGAAATTGGCCTAGCTCCTCTGAAAACCACGCTGATCTGTCAGACAAGACTTAACAATTAGAGTAATTCTCACTGTCGACCTCCTCAGAATCTAACAGGAAAAAATGGCCAGAGAGAGTCGGTTTTATGACAAAACGATTAACGTCAATTATGGTAATGTCAGGATTACTGTTTGATCCAGCACGTAGAACTGTACAGCACGGATGACAAATAAGTAACGTATTACCGGTCCTAAGAATGGTCGGATTTAACGTACAAAGAATAGTCAAAAATACTAGCCGAGGTCAGGGAACACAGAAAGGGACACAGTGATGAGGAAAGCCAGGAGTCAGGATCCCAGAATATAGAGAAGTAAATAAACAAAGCCAAAGTCAAAAACCAGGTAGAAAACTATAAACAGGAATGCGCTCTCAGACAACCACAAGGGAAACCACGACAGGGCACTGAGCAGGCTGAAAACTGGGCCTAAATACCCCTCCTTTAGTTCTGATAGGCTGTAACCGGCCTTTGACCCCAAAGTCAGTTACCAGGTTTAATTTGCATAATTGCTGCTCAGCATTAACCCTTTTGTGGATTAGGTTGCTGCTCGGCACAACTTTTCCTGTGTGGACAGTAAATGTCATTAACCACTTTTCTATAAGCGGATGAATACGTGACACCAGGTTTCATTTGCACAATTACTGCCCAGCATTAACCCTTCTGTGGATTAGGTTGCTGCTCGGCACAACTTTTCCTGTGTGGACAGTAAATGTCATTAACCACATTTCTATAAGCGGATGAATACGTGACAGGTAATAGCTCAATGAATAAAAAAAAAATATATATATATGTAATTTTTATAAAGCGAATACAATTCAAGGGGAAAATATCAGTGCAAGTATTTACTATATTAGAGGGTATGGTAGCTGTACAAATATAATTTACAATGGTAGACATTAAAGATTTTTACACAACATTGTTTCATGTGTGAAGAAAGGGAATTTCACACACGGTGTTAGAGCAATCTTTTAGGTTGTATGTACTAATATACATTATTGTGAAAGTATAGTAAGAAATCAGTTGAAATCATAAGATGGAGCAAAGTTCAGACTAGAGTAGAGCGAACCCGAACTGTAAAGAACTGTAAAGTTCGGGTTTATACCAAACATTAAGTTTTTTGGACCCCGGACCCGAACATGGACATATCACTGTATGTTCGGGTTGGAGTCCGGTGTTCGGCGATTTAATGGCACGTTTTCAAAGGCTGCAGGGCAGCCAATCAACAAGCGTTTGACTTGTGTGCCCGCGGTTACATCAGAGTTTTAAAAAGTTATTTTTTTTTTGGTGCTAAATAATACATTAGTGGGATAGTACTAAATCTGCAGTGTGACAGCAGTATTTGATGCTTCTATTATTGAGAGTCAAATAGAAGCGTCAAATACTGCTGTCACATTGCAGTTTTAAAACTTAAAAGTTTTTGGGTGCTAAACTGCTAAATAGTATTTTAGTGGGGTGCACTTCATATCTGAGAGTCAAATAGAAGCATCTAATAGTGTGCTTACAGCGCAGTGGTAAACATTCTTATTTTCTGGGTGCTAATCTGCTAAATAGTACATTTTGTGGCCTGCTCTTCATATCTGAGAGTCAAATTGAAGAGTCAAATAGTGTGCTTACTGCGCAGTTGTAAGAATTCTTGTTTTTGGGTGAGATGAGACAAGTAGAACAATGAATACTCACCCCCACGGTCACCTGCCCTTATATGTCTCCTTAGCGGACCGGATGGGGAACTGCAACACAAATCAAACGTCACTGGGCGGAGCTTGTCGATGATTGGCTGATGCAGTAGGTTGTACTCGTGCTTTGCAGTGATTTTCGGCAAGTATTTAGTGCAGACTGAATTTATTAATAAAATATTTTATTCCCCCTCCCTACTCCGCTTCATACATAATAAACACAGATAAAGAGATTGAAATTAAATGTGTCTAGATAAAGAAGTTACCGAAATACATATTGATACTCTTTTCATTCTTACACTGATTTTATTAAAGACACGGAGGCTCATATTATGCATAACTCTTTCTTTATTTCCTCAGCAGCAAAGAAAGAGGAATATAAATATTATCAAGAAATGAAGAAAAAACTGTATAGGCACAACAGGTAGCCAATCACAGAATATAGGAAGTAGCTACATAAGCCCTGTGTCTCCCACAATCCCCCTCTTTCTTTGCTGCTTCCTCAGACAGATAAGTGTTTTTTTTTTGCTCTCTTGCATTTTGGTTTGCATTTGGTTGTTGCCTTTTGCCCTTATATTTGCCTTATTCATTCAGTATACTGTTTGTTGTACTTGCCTTGCGGTTGGTGTTCCCCTTGGGACCCCATGGGTGTCCCCTTTCCCGACCGGGTGGTCTCTTCCCTGCCCTCCCCTACCCCTCGTGCTTCAGCACGGGACCCGGCGCTGGCTGTCTGCCACGGCCGCTCTCCTCCCATGGCCGCGGCAGTGCGCGCTTTCTCTCCCCGCTCGCGGACTGGCACGGCGGGTCGGGTGTTCCTTCCCCTTCCCCCGCCGAGTGCCAGGTCGCGTGCGCCTTCCCTCACGTGCGGCGGCCATTTTGGGCGGACCTCGCTCCTCCCCGTGCTGCCGTGCGGTCGGTCACCTCATTGCCCTGCTCCCCTGGGAACACTAACCGGTCTGTTTTCAACATTAGTTGCTTTGTGGGTTACTCAACCCCCTCTCTCCCTCTCCAGTTAGTTTTATTTAATTTATTTAGTTTGTTTGGTCTCACCTGTTGCTGCCTCTCACTAGCATGCAGGATAGGGATGATGGGCCTGTTGGTCCTTCAGGGGACTTCCATTTAGACAGTGCTGAAGGTGCTATGGCCTCCCAGGAGTTTCAGACCATGCTAGAGGCCACTATGGCTTCCTCCATACAAAAGGCTATTGCCTCAGCCATGGGAGCTGTCTCTAGTTCCTTTTCTCAATCCCTGCACTCTCTAGTTTTACCTGCTCTGGCCACCCCCGCCCCTAGGGGCTTGGGGTCCCCTTCTCCTGCTCATACTGTGCCTGGAGCCCGTAAGGCAAGGGCCAAATCTAATCATGTCGGCTCCCACTCCTCGATGCAGGTTCTACCTGCCATGACTGACACGCAAGAGGCGGTCTCAGATAGCGCGCACCCCACGCGCAAAAGAGCCCCTGGCCGGGCTAAAAAGGCTAGATTGTGGAAACAGGCTAGAGCCCTTGATGGTTGGTCGGATACCGACCGGAGTGTGGAGGATGAGTCCGACGTTATGGAGTACGACTCCTTTGACGATGATGAATCTGGCGAGGATTTGCCCCTTACGTGCATGAACCCCTCGGGGTCCTCTGCCAAGGCCCGGGGTCCCATACTTGGCCCCTCTGGGGATGACACCTCGATCCTTGACCCGCAGGGTAACCCCCTATTTGATCCAGACGACCTACGTCACCCCCGGTCCGCTGAGTGGGTTCCCCCGGATCATATTGCCCAGTACGTGGCTAGGGGCATCCGCACGCCACTTTCTAGAGAAGGCCGCAATAAACTGCGCGCCGAATGCCCACGCCCTTCCCTCCAGGGCGCTGCTTGTAAGACCCCAGACATTGACCCACAAATCGCCCAGTTCCTGATTAAGTCAGGCTGGAAGCCCAAGAAGGGCCTTGACCACTCCCTAAAAAGCTGCCAGGACAAGATCCTGGATACCCTCGGGCCCCTTTCTAAGCTCTACAAGCTTCTCGATGCTGCTAGAACCGGGGATTCAATTCTAGATGTGGATGTGGCCATTGGTTGGGTCCAACGGGCCATCTGCTTGCTGGGGAACGCCAATACTGTGGGGATATTTATGGGATAATAATAGTAACAGTGAGAATTGCCCACTAATTCAATTCTCAGATCCCAAAGAACGTTTATCGTGTTAAGTGGAATGTATTTCATATAATAATATCACAATGTATAAAAATAGATTTTATTTATGATAACCAATAATTAACAAATAATATTATGTAACATGCATAACAATAATCAATGAATATCCAGTACAAAATTATATGCAATACAAAGAAATGGGTATTACGTTTCAATGGCTAACTAGCATTTTCTGTCAAGAATTCTGACGATTTATGACTAGCTTTCACAGACTTAAAGTGAAACTTTTCGCAGGGAAGAACAGAATTCCTCAGAATGCAGCATAAGGTCGTAAAGTTTAGCAGACAGTTAGAATAACCCTTTCAATGCTGGCTAGATCTCCTAGGTAGTTAAGATCTACTCTTATGTATTTTTAAATAAAATAACATTTAAACCAGTTTAAATTCATTTTCTTAAACCATCCAATAAGAGAGTCTAATATGTTATATAAGCAGATTTTAATTTGTCTAAAAGATATCTATCTTAATTTAGAGCAAATCAATACACCTGGATAAAAACAGCGGTATGCTAACACGTGATAATATCACATCAATATATAATTATTCTTAATTCCACCTGCAGAATGGAATCTTTATAACTATATATTCTTAGTTAACTAAGATTTCTTAATATGGAAATCTGACCGTGCTTTATCCAGTCATATATAATGCTATTAATACATTTTAATTAATTTAATTTAATTAAATGAAACCAGTATAATTACCAGTTGAGTAGATATTTCATCCGATTGGTAGTCTCTCTGCATGGAGGTGTTGGTTAGAAAGTCAGTAAATTCTAAGTGTTAGAGTTTTAGGAGTAGAGTGTTAGTCTCAGATGTTGTCCGAGTTGGAATCCCCAAACTTCCAATTCCTCTCTCCTCTCCTTTGCATATCTTGCATCTGCCTCCCTCTCGTATATTCCCTTTGTCTTAACTTTTAAAGGGCCAGACTCCCTGTACGTCATCAGTTGATAACCCAATAGAAGCACTAGAGGTGTGGTTATCTTCCAGATCGCAAATTAGTTATTTGGTCTGTAGAGGGCAGTCTTGTCCCACTAAACATACCTATCCAGGAAAGAGTTAACTTTTCCTGGTGACTATTTTGACGTCATTTTGGCCTATCTAGATAGTGGCTATAACTTACGTATCCTTCAAAGATCAAAGGGTTTCTTACATTTTGTCCAGACTATGTGTCTGCAATTCCTGCCATAATTTCTGATATGACAGATCATGAACTAAGTTTACCCTTTTCCATACAATGGTACCCAGGGCCGGACTGGGAGAAAAATTCGGCCCGGGCATTTTTTTAACACAGCGGCCCACTAAAAAGGGGGGGGGGCATAGGAGGTGTGTTTTGTCATCACCAATGACAAACACGCCTCCTCTCAAAGTGAGCATGTTGGTTCAATGCTCTTCCAGGGCAGACCATGCGCAGAGCTCTGCTGAAGAGCTCTAGCATGAGAAAAAGTCCTGTATTTGTTCTGCACAGTGCAAGCAAATTTAATAACATGCTTGCACTGTCTTTCCTTGCAACTTGTCTCTGGTGTCTCTATAAATGGATACCAGGAGACAAAAGGCCAGGAAAGAGTATTGTGCATGTGTTTGGAGCCTGCTTGTGGTATTGCGTGTGTGTAGAGTGAGCTGGTCGTATTGTGTAATAAGGTCGGTTTTAGTCGTGTTGTGTTTGTGGTGTAATGTGATGCATATGTGGCTCAGGGACCCCCTCCCGCCCGGCTCTGGAAAGGGGTTAAAACTTACCTTTTTCCAGCGCCGGGCGGGGAGCTCTCCTCCTCCGATCCGCCCCGTCGGCTGAATGCGCACGCGCAGCAAGAGCTGCGCTCGCATTCAGCCGGTCGCATAGGAAAGCATTTATAATGCTTTCCTATGGACGCTTGCGTGCAAAGCACGCAAGTGCCTCTAGCGGCGGTCAATGAGACAGCTGCTAGAGGCTTTGGGGGAAGGCTTAACCCATTGATAAACATAGCAGTTTTTCTGAAACTGCTATGTTTATAAAACAATGGGTTAACCCTAGAAGGACCTGGCACCAAGACCACTTCATTAAGCTGAAGTGTTCTGGGTGGCTAGAGTGGTCCTTTAAGAGTGTTGTGTGTGTGTGTGTGTATATATATATATACACACACACACACACACATATATATATTTGGAAGTATTGTGTATGTGTGTGGTGCAATGTGTTGGGGGGGTTCTGTGTGTATGTGAGGGGTGCAGTATGTGTGTGTGTGAGGGTGCGGTGTGAGTGATGGGTGTGAGAGTGCCGTGTGAGAGTGCCCTGTGTGAGATGGGTGTGAGAGTGCTGTGTGAGAGAGTGCTGTGTGTGTGTGAGAGTGCTGTGAGTGTGATGGGTGTGAGAGTGCTGTGTGAGAGAATGCTGTGTGTGTGTGAGAGTGCTCTGTGAGAGTGCTGTGAGAGAGTGCTGTGAGAGAGTGCTGTGAGAGAGTGCTGTGTGTGATGGGTGTGAGAGTGCTGTGTGAGAGAGTGCTGTGTGTGTGTGAGAGTGCTCTGTGAGAGAGTGCTGTGTGTGTGAAAGT